GTTACATTCATTGTTGGGATCATGTACCTTTACATGGCAAGTCTTGATTCTCATTTTTTTCCCCTTACCTCTGCCCTCCCTTCACCCCCTCCTCCCCTCCCCATCTACAAACACTTTATTTTCATCTTTTCATTCTCTCACATTTTTTTCTTTTCCCTTTTTGTTCTTCCCCTACGTATCACACCTTCCCTACACCTTTAGCTCCTTTCCTCCCATTTCTAAATGTCAGTAATCTTATTAGAATCTTATGCATTGTTCATTTTTGTAGTTAGTGTTTTTTATTAAACATCTCATTTTGTTTATGCATTGGTTTACTAATTTCATTTTATTTTCTACCTCTTTTCTTATACTCATTGCTCCTTTAAAATGATTATTTTGATTTTTCTTCAGGCAATTCATATCCCATGTCATTGGTGTTGGATATTAGAGCTTTATTAGTTTCCTTCAGTAGTGTCATGTGCTGATTCTTTGTTATTTATGTGTCCTTGCATTCAAATATGTGCATTTGAAGGAAGTGAATCCTCTTTCAGTCTTTCTAGTTTTGACAATGTAAACTTTTGTCCTGTAAGAATTCTTGGCTGACAGCATTCTCTCTGGGATCATAGTTGAGCAGGGTGAGATATGAACTTCATGGCTGACACTGAGTCTACCATGAAGATCACAGGGTGGGTCTGGTACTTGGAGTTCGAGCAAACATAAGTCTTATTTGTTCCCTGGGTACACTGGGACTTTGATCTGTGAGATGGTGCTGAAATGATGGTCTGCTTTGGGGTTCTTAGATGGCAGGTCACTTACCACATATCTGATATGTATGGCTTCCTCTAGTTCTTTGGGAGGAATTCTACTACACTGTGGAATAGGACCCTGGCCAAACCATACTGTGCTGGTCAAAGACTGAAATGGATTTGAATGGAGACAAGATTTTTCCATATATACAGCCAAGCCTGAAAATTTCAGGCATTGTTTCTAGGAAAAAAGATATCTCCCAGTGAATTCCTGGGTGAGCAGACCTACACTAAGACTGAGATTGGGAAGGGCTGGAGCTGATATGCAGGTTAATTTCAAGATCCACGGTGACACCAAGGTCAGAGCATCAGTTTTCAGGGCACTGTCAGATACCCTGTCCTTCAGCCCCTCAGGTAGGCTAACTTTCTCTCTCCAGACAAGAATGACCAGAACAAAAATCCAGGGCTGAGAATTCTATTTCAGACAGAGCTTGGTAAGCCTGTCAGATAAACTCAGATAGACATATCTTCTAATACTACCCTGGCTTTGGAGAGACACTCCAAGGCCACAGTTGTGAGTGAGTAAAACAGGTTCAGAGCTGTTTTAGAATCTACCTTGGGACTGATATTGACAGGCCTAAAAAAACAGCAGTGGTGTTTCAGAATCCCAGAAAATCCCTTTGTGGGGCAGACTGCAGATGAGAGAAATTGGAGCTGAACTCTAGGGCTCTTTAGTTTCTGCTTTAGGATAGAGGCCATCAAGTCTGTATTGGGGCCTCTCCCCTCAGTTCCCTATACTGACTAGCTAACTCCAGGCATGTAGCAGAAAAGGGGCTGCTGGTGCCTACATGAAACCCCCTTTAAGATCTTCTATGGGGCAGAGATCATCAGGTTTGTCCTGAAAAAAATAATATATATATATGTATATATATATATGTATGTATGTATATATAAGCCAGCAGGGTCACGTGGAAGTTAAAATTAGGAACAGAGTGAACAACTAGGATTGTGAGATGCATGCTTTGTGGTATTAAGAAGGAGATATAACACTGACTCCTACAAGAAGGTATAACTGGCTTGTGTGAATCATTCTCCAGGCTAGCTAATTAGGATAAGGAGGCCCTGCAACTCATCTGTTGGATAAAGAGGGTTGTTTGGCTAGGAAACCTTATCTGCTGGAGCAGAACAGAGAGAACTTAAAGTAGGCCTATATGTGTCTCTCCATCAAGTTTCTCCAACTATTGAAATAGCTCAATAGTGTGCCTTAATCTGAGAATAGTATAGTATTTTGGTATAGAATAATATCTTATAAATCTTAAATACTGGGAAGGTAGACTAAAATAAGAATATAAAAATAAAACTATTAATTTTGGGGCCAGGGATGTAGCTCAGTAGAGCTGCACATGTCTGGCAAGTGCAAGGTCCTGAGTTTGATCCCTGATACTGAAAAAAAACACAAAAAACTATGAATTTTTAAAAAGTAGCATTCATTTTAGCCAAGAGAGAGGGGTGTATGTTATGTGGGGGTGGCTCAGTGACCTTGTCTCTGTCTTGCCTTAGATAAAACTATGAATTAACCCTACTTTGTCTCCTTTTATCATGACTTTACAGTAGCCTTGTCTGAGGTTAGTATTATATCTGATAGGAGAATAAAATAGCCTAACTCTCACAGCCAGCTTTTCAAAGCCAACTTCTCAAAGGAAGAGGCTTCTCTCTCTCCTTCCCCTCTCCCTTTGTCTCTCCCTCCACGCCTTCTCTGTTAGAAGGATGAGCTGGTGAAGATAAGTTACATGGAAAGATGACTGGAAAGCTTTCTTCTGAAGACACATCAAAGCTCAGCCTTTACTGCTAAAAAGAAATTATGCCTAAACTGGGGCTGCACTCAGTGATAGAGTGCTTGCCTAGCATATAGGAGGCTCTGGGTTAGCACCACAAAATCAAAAAAGAGCCATTGATATAAAGAATCATTACAGTGGGTGTACATAGGGAAGAGGAGAAGAGACAACCTGTAGTGGAGATTACTCCTTTTGGGTGGAAACAGCAAGTTTGGTCAAAGAAATATTTCATCATACTTGATTTTTTTAACTCAGGAAGATGGATCTTGGCTTTTCTGACTCTTCAAGAGTTGAAGGTGAGGGGGAGCCAGACTCTCAGAAAATGAGGAATAAAATTTTGAGAAGCCTTCAAGTGATAGTGATATTGGACAGTCCTCCAAGCAGCATCTCATTGCCTGCATCCTTTCCTCACAGTTATAATTCAAGTATATAGACCCTACATGGAAAATCCAATACTAATTGATATTTAAATATTCTATATATTATCCAGAAAAATTGCTTGTCCAGAAAGATTTTACTACTGTCCAAGGAGATAACTTGGGGCTGTTAGCTAGTGAATGCACTGTCAGTGGCAGAAGATCAATTACTCTGGACATACTTGTCTTTTCTCTCAAAATTACAAAGGCATTTTTTTCAGATCATCTAGCATACACCATATATGAACTACATTTCCATTGTCATTTATTAGTAAAGGGTTCATAGGTTATTAGCTTTATCATTCCATCCACCTGTCCAAATATCCATCTGATGTATTTAAACACTAGACAAGCATTGGCTTGAAGACATTGTTACCAATGGGGAATTTAGCATATTAGCACAAGAAAATATTAACAATGATATATAGCCCAAGAGCAAAGAATTGTGATTACAAGGAAGAAGCCAGATGGGCTAGATTCCAAGGAGAGCTCTTCCACTTCTTAGTTGTCACTGTAGACAAGTTACTCAGATCGTTTTTCTTAGATCATGTTTTTTCATCCATAAATTAAATAATACTAGTAACTATTTCAAAGGTTTGATGTGGAAATTAAAATATATTTTAAATTCTTAGACAACACATGATAAGCACTATATAGGACCTATTGTTGTAATTATGATTGCAACTATGTATTGTAAAAGAAACAAAGTACTTACTTAACACCATATCCCTGTAAGCCAGGTTACACATAGGCCCTCTATAAGGGAAATAATGAATCAGTCTTTGGCAGCATCTGAAATTACATTTAGCTTAAAATATGTTTTCTTGGCTTCCTGATATGTCTGATGCATTCACACCTACTGAGGATATATTTTAATAAATTCTGTGACTTAGCTCTTTGGACTTTGCCTAAAGAATGCACTAGGAATCTCAGATCTTTAATTGAATCAACTATACTTAGTGCCAATGAAATAAGTGTGATGACGGCTAGATCTTGCAAATCTTTACATGAAGAAAACACCTGCTTGGTGTTAATAAGATACATGAATTTTAGGCAACAGAAAACCAAAGAAAATTATCACTATGTCTGTCTTGATAAAATACCAACAGAGTTCTCATTGATTTCATTATATTCAAAAGTTTATTTGACTTTCCATGAAATGTGAATGGGAAAAAAAATCACATGGATTGTTAGTTCATGCCAGGTGTTGTGTTTCAAAATATTACTGAATTTTTACAAATGCAGAATTTATAGTGATTGATCCTGAAGCATTTCAGTTATCCTTCTAGGTTGTATAAGCTCAGGAGAACAGAGGTAATGTTTTAGACTTCTTTGAAATTTAGAGCAAGTTAACACTGGTACATATACATACATACTAAATGATTGCTAAATTAATATTTTGCTATTGTTCATACATCCACTGAAGCTAGGAAAAAACCATAACCCAATCTATTGTATTAGTATTTCTGTCCATGCAGCTTGTAATTTAGGTTGTATAATCACTAACTATTGTTGAGATTGTGTGTGTTTATATGTCCATATATTAATTGGCCCCAACATCAATTTTTAATGGTCAATGAACCCAGACATTTTAACCAGGGGAACCAAATCACCTATACCTAGTGGATTCCCTGAATAAGAGCATTTGGTTCATGCATGAGAATTGTGAACAGGAACAGGAAATGTTTGTAGTGATTGCTTTTCCATAGACTTACATTAGTATTACCCACTCCACTAATCATAACTTCTTAGCAAATCAGAGATATCACTCAGTGGTAACTCCTGTGATATAGCATATGAAAATGCATTCCATGATTAATGAATATTGACATGGTAATGAATAAATACTATTGATCAAGCATATTGTCCAAACTGGATTTTTAAGAAAGAAATCTTCATGTGAAAATAATAGAATTGAGATTCACATTCTTATTTTTTTAAGAGTAACACTTAATGGCAATTTGATATTTTTGAAATACAAGTATTCTGTTTAAACAAATAACTGCTTTTGTTCATATTTTAAGGTGAATTTGGAGAAGTCTGCAGTGGGCGTTTGAAGACACCAGGGAAAAGAGAAATCCCAGTTGCCATTAAAACTTTGAAAGGTGGCCACATGGATCGACAAAGAAGAGATTTTCTAAGAGAAGCGAGCATCATGGGTCAATTTGACCACCCAAACATCATTCGCCTAGAAGGTGTTGTCACAAAAAGTAAGTTTCTGATTTTCTTGCATCTTTATTTATCAATGTGAATTTGTTTAAAAACTTAATAACAATGCCACAGTCATCAAAGCAATAACTCTGTTGAGATATCATCTTCTGAAACTACCCCTCAGAATTTGATTCTAGGCTATGACATTATCAGAGTTTGCATTGGTTGCCAAATTGCTTTGAAATGGTATTGACTATAAAGCGTTACAAATTTAGTTGAAGTCAGTAAGTCAAGAATAAAGAATTATATTTCTTTCTGAGCATCAATATTAATAAAAGGAATAGTTTCAATATTGTGAGTCATTCAGGTTAAATACTACTGTTTAGAAATAAAAATTATATATAAATATAGATACTTTATCTAGAGTAAAACATTTCAACAAAAATGTTTTGAATGAAACCATCTACATAAATACCATTAAAAATAATCATAATTGATAAAAATGAAAAAGAATTAGTTTCTAAAGTAAAGCTCCTGCTCTTATAAATAGTAGGATCAAGTCCATTCTTTGAAAGAAAATTTCTAAAAAATCCAAAATTAATCATAAAGTACTCTAAAAACATAGATTGCTGTATATTCTTTTTTGGGGGGAGGGGGGGTGCCGGGGATTGAACTCTGATCCTTGGGCTTGCAAGGCAGGCCACCAAACCACTGAGCTAAATCTCCAGCCCCTCATTTTTATTTAAATAAGGTATAAAATGTAACAATATTTCTTCTCATAGTATTCAATAATGAATTAAATATATAAATCCCCCCAAATGACATTTAAAATATCATAAAAGTAATTTAGATCCTTAAGAGAAATATTTTCTTTTATACAATTGAAATTTCTAAAAACAATTTGCAGGATGTTGAAATTTTATGTCATATTGCAAAGCAATAGTTTCTCTGATGTGAGAAATTAAGACTGTAAAGAGGATAAAAATGTATAATAGATAATGAGAAATAGAAAGAAAAGGTCCAAAGCGGAAAGGCAAGTGGGAAGGGGTGGGGAAAAGAAGGAAGGGAAAGGAAAAAAACATGAGAAAAGGAAAAAATGGGAACAATTGTTTGTAAATAGGGAGGAGCGGAAGGGTTGAAGGGAGGCAGGGGAATGGGGAAAAAGAGAACCAAGATAAAATATGTATAGGAACAAATCCCCAATGATGAATGTCATCATACTGTATACCTGAAATGTACCAATAAACTTAAAGAATTAAAATAAATAAATAATAATAATAAAAGTTGGCTAAAAACATGCAATTGAGTGTGTCGGCAACTGCTAAATCCTCAGAAGGCCTTGGCCCACGTGCTGTCACAAGGAGCAAATGGCCCATGGCCATGATTGTTTGAAAGGCAGAAAAGAGTGCTCTGGGTAACAAAGGTACAGGGAGCTTTTAATGACCTGAATGGGACTTTTCCGTATTCGTGACCTTGTGTAGTTGTTTCTCACACTGACTCTGAATATCTGTGTGACTAAGTTTGGCCAATGGGACATGAACAAGTGTGATACAAGTGGAGGCATTTTACATATTTACACACTGCAGTTTGCCCTGCAATGCTGCTTCTTCCTGGAACCCCACTCCAGCTGAGTGAAGGCGGTCCATGTGACAAGGCCACAGCAGTGCTGCAGAGAGAACTGAGGTGCTCCGGTCAGCCACATACCGAGCTCCCAGTAGAGAGCCCTGAATGCCAGTTTTATATATGAGCCATCTCAGACATTACACTCCACCTTTAATCCCTTCCACAACCAGATGGCTGCAGTTGTAGTAAAGAAGCCACTCAGCTCAATCTAGCCAATCCATAGAATTATAAGACAGAATAAAATGGTTATTATAAGGCATTAAATTTGGGTGGTTTGGTATATAGCAATGGGAAACAATAAGATGAATCCCAATTAGAATTCTTCTGTCATTTAAGAAGCTTTGTATAATTTAACATCTCTATTCTTTACTTCCATATCTGTAAAATGGGATCAAAATAACCCATTGTAGCATTGACTGGAGCATTCCAGTTCTCTTCTTTTTAACATCACATGTGGCTCATAGTAAGCCAGCTGAAGTGTTTAGCCATTATTGATGACTACCCATGCCACCATGTCACAAACATCTTCACCACTTTATCCTCACAGCAACTCTTGGATATGACAATATCCATATTTTTATGATAAGAAATTGAAGTTCAAACAGGTTAACTGGCTTAGGACTTCTAACATAGAATAGCATGATTGGTGTTTAAACTGAAGCTCTTCCTACTAGAAAACCCATGTTTGCTTGCTTTTCTTTTTCTTCTTGTTGTATCTCAGTGAATCAGTTTCACACTTTAGTTATCTTACCTAAATTAAATAATATTAAACAAATAATCTGAATTACAAACACAACACAGCCTTTAAAAATAGTAAAAATAGTGAAAGCAATTACTCCTATAATATAGTTAGGAAATATATCCATTTCAAAATACCTAGTAAACAATAAAATCTAAATGAGAGAAACTGAGATACATAGAAACCAAATAGCTTATAACACATAACCCTATGAAACAGTGGAAGTTATATTCTAAATCAACTGCACACATTTAATAAGAACTTGAAATGGTTTATTTTACATGAATATTCAAACAACCAGTATAGTAATTGCAATCTAACAATCTCACCACAAATGAGACCAGTGACCTCTACCTACCCAAATTTGTGATTCAAAAAAAGTGAAGGTTGTTGTCCTATTAAGGAAAAGAAGAAAGAAAAGAAGATTTCATTTGTGTTATGTAAGGATATATAAGGACAGGTTCAGTACTGGAATGACAATGATGCTATAGTTTTAATTTGTAAGAGTGAACCCTGTATAATATGGTGTGCAGCTGCCAAAGCAGGCAGTGAGGATAGAGAAAGAAATAATTCCCACATAGGGAAGTGGATTTGTTTATGCTGTTATCATCATCTTGACTCAAATGTTATGGCATTGTTAGGAGAAAGGCAATAATTAAATATATAAATAAATGCATGCCTCATTCCCATAAATACATGGTAATTGTTCCAAGATTGCTTTTACGTAGCTAAGAGATAGCTAGCAATTAATGCTCCCTAAAGACTAACTCATTATGTAGAGATAATACTGATGAAGATAAAGATGCAATATAGGCTTATAAGAGTATTTTTGGAAGTCAAAGAAATTCATAGGCTCTCATTTAAAAGTGATAGATAATTATAGATCAAAAATCTCAAAATTGTTCTATAAATTCTTAATAGGTATACTACTTAATCTTGTAAGTTTTTTTTCTCTAAGAAATATATAAGATTTTCAGGAATATTTTTGCTTCTAGTTATATTTGTGCATATAATTGCTTTTACAAAAAAAACTTGAAATGATTAAAAGCTATATTATACAAATAAGAATGTCTGGTAAAAATTGAATGTGTGATACACATCACAGTTTCATTAACCTGTTATGATAAAATGATATAAAAAGAAATTAACTGGCCTATAACCATGTTCTTAATGCACACTTTTTCTCCTAAAAACAAATAGAAACCATCAGTTAAAGAACAGATGTGTAACCATTAGTAGCATAGATAGTAGCAATTTGTAACAGCTAATGCATACACCAGTGTCATTAACTGTAAACCAAAACAGAAAGAGCTATGCTTCTATAAAAATAAAAATTGCAGTTTAATGATGAAGAAATACATTGAAGAACCCACATTTCAGGGGAGACTGGGCCCCATAATTAAAATCTATGATGATGGAAGAACTACAAAGAAAAATAATAAACTACAAAGAAAAAATAATATCTGTCAGATGAGTTTAAGTTACAATAACTATACCTCAACTAAATCACAAATCCAATAAAGAGTAGCAGGATCAAAAACATTCCCAAACAGAACTTCACGTCAGTGTACGGCATGGTTTCATTGTTTTCTTTATTAAGTATATATCTGCAAAATATAATGATTACATTCATTGTGCAGAGTTGGTACATGTACATGATATATCTCAATTCATTTTATGTATCCTTCCCCTCACCTGTCCATTTCTTGATCTCTTTCCTAGTTGCTAAAGTTCTCTCTGCTTCCTATTATCTTTTAGTTTGCTCTTTGATTTATTTGTGCCTTGAGTTTCCCATATAAGAGAAACTATGTCATATTTGAGTTGGTGAGTCTCGTTTATTTTACTCACATTAAAGAGCACCCATTTTCCCACAAATTACTGAAATATACCCTTCTTTATATCAGCATAGTACTCCATTGTGTGTGAATAGGACATTCTTTAAAGATTCCATGGAACTTTATTGAAGCTATAACTGACGGGGCTGAGCCCACTCAAGCCCTCTTTAAACACTCCAGAATAATAAAGTTATACAAAGAGTTTTGGGCGCTCCATAGAGTGTCCAACTAAAAGAGTAAATGAAAACAGTCAAAGGCATTGTAGTACAAGTTTAAGAACTGCCTCTTAGATCTCAGAACATATTCCACCTGTCATATCAGAGCCTTTCCCTGTGGTTTCCACAACCGTTATTGAACTGCTATATCTGCTTCTCTGTTAGTATTTGTAGAAGTAACATGACTTCTTTAGACTTTAATTTCCCCTGTATAAAAGACTGAAAATTGCAGATTGGATAATAAAAAAGATTACATATAGCTGTGGTTGTTTATAATTCCATTCCTTTGACAAAAGAGTCATGAGAATATTGAAAAAAAATTATGCCAGTGATAAATTATCCCCTCATTTTTAACTTTGTTAATACTTCAGGATCAGAGTGATGATTCAAGTGAATAAAAAGAAGATGGCCTAAAGAAGGCCAGAATAAAACAAAATAGTCTTCAATTTTTAAAATTTATAGTTTATATTATAAAAGTTTATAGGTAAAATTCTCCCATAAGCAAAATAAATCTTTGGTATTGTTGGCTTTCCATCACTATAACATAATAGCTGATATAATTAGTTTAGAAAAGAGGTCTATTTTGGCTCTCAGTTTTGGAGGTTTTGCTTCCTGACTGATTGTTGTCTTGTTTGGGGCCATTGATG